GCCACAAAATTGGATGGAAAGAAATAAAACAAAATGCTTTATGCTTTAACCATTCTCCACAATTTGTATATTCAGAAATATCAATAAATATTATCTTAAAAACCCTGTGTTAGAGTGGGAGCTAAATGCCTCTGTAATAGTCTCATAAACCATTGAGTCATTCTGGAATCATCCTGAAAATCAACACTTATACATATAACCATGATATCAATTAAAATTTTTTGCTGAAAAATTTACTGGATGGCTATATTTTAGTGAGATGAGAGCAATTTTCTTTGCTGCTTTTCTTTAAAAAGTTTTTTCTTACCTTTTTACATGACAGATGAATGCCTGCCCTTGGCCTGTACATAGTGAATCCAGTGAAGTAACAGGGATGGCCTTCCCTGCGCAGTGGTTTCGTGGGACACAATTTTAATTAAGTAAATAGAAAGCAAATGTATGTTATTTTGAGAGGAAATATTTTTTAAAATGTGGTCCCGGGACGTCCTGCATCGAAGTCATCTCCGATACTTTAAAAATGTAGATTTCCAGACCTACTAATTCAGAATCTGAGGGTAAGCCCCCCAATTTGTTTTTAATACTAAAAAAAACAGTTGCCATCAAGTTAATTCTGACTCATGGTGACCTCATGAGTGTCAGAGAAGAACCTGGCTCCAGGGGGTTTTCAAAGGCTGCTTTGTCAGAAGTAGATTGCCAGGTCTTTCTTCTGAGCCACCTTTGGGTAGACTCAAACCGCCAACCTTTTGGTTAGTAGCTGAGTGCTTAACTCTTTGCACCACCCAGGGACTCCCCAGGAAATTCTCCTGAGAGTCTCCAAGAACCACTAGGCAGAGCAAGATAAGATTGAGGTTCAAAAATTCTTGCAGAGGATCTTCTCTGCCCCAATCTTTTCTCAACTGCGTGCGACTAAAATACAAACACCTTTGCTTCACAGATAGACGATAACTAGAGTATAAGTCTTACCTAATGCTCCATTGTAATCTTATTAGAGAGATATTTATATTGGGAATTCATTGAAAGAGCACATACAAGCGGTCAGTAACATTGCTGGGAATAATGGTAGGGTGACTATAGAGGTGGTTTGTCTTGGCTAGAAAACAAAAGTCCATTATTTCCATTCCCTTTGGTGTATCCCGTAGTTTGACTGCTTGCCTAAATCGTACAGCAGAGTTCACAACGGTGAATGGAACAGGCCACCATAGAGAGCTATGGTATCGTGGTGGTTAAGAGCATGACTGCTAAAGTCAGATACACTTGTCATGTTAAACATCTTGTGATCTTAGGTTCTCCTTATGGTAAGTGGGGATAATACTAGTACCAGTCTAATAATGAGAAATTGTTTGCAAAGTGTTTAGCACAGGGTCTGGCACTATAAGCAGAAATAAGTGCTTATAGTGATAACTTCATAAGAGCTAGATTGTATGTGCTTGGGAGGTCAGGCTTTTCTGGTTTGACTTTTGGAGGATCAGGCTAGTTAGCAGACAAGCCTAGGGATTTGGGAGAAGTTCCAAAATCTTTAGGGGGAGGTGGAAGGGAAGGGGTAGCAGTGGAGCCAAGGTTATTAATAATCCTTCAACTGAGCTTTATTTTTAGATATCTGTTGATTTCACGGGACATCCAAACCTAACGTCACTTGTTGAAATCCACACTCTGGGGTTTGGTCTAGGATTGAATTATGTGGGGTATCATTCGTGAATGGCTTTCATTTGTAACCTTCTCCAATTCCTAAGTATTCAAAGTTAATTCCTATGCACACACAACACACACACACACACACAAATGCACAAAACCACACCTACCCTTAACTTTGGCCATAGCTGTATTTCTGGAGTGCCACATTTTTTAACGTTGCCTTAAATTCTAACAAATGTCTCTGCATTTATCATGGTCACTATCATGAAACACATTTCTGCCACTCTTTCTTGCCTTATGGGTAAATATTCCCTAAGTAAAATTACACGTTACACTTTTCCCTGTTAAATTCGCATTTGCTGGGTCATAGGTATCACCTGGAGCTGTTCAGCTTTAGGAAAGTCAATAGCCATTCCCCAGAAACACAACCAAGCCAGGTCGAGATGACTGCCAGGAGCAATTCTTTATATTATCCAGTTGCATAACACACTTCTTGAATAAATGACGTATCCTAATTTAGGATACATCACCAGGTTCAAGTCAGAGAGTATCCTCTGCCAGTCGATAAGAGTGCGCGTCACTGGGAGATCTCTTCGTAGAATTTTCCTCAGGGCTTCGTTAGATAACTCCTGTAATTCTTCAAAGACTGCAGCTTGAAATTTATTCTCCTGTTCTTCCACCAGCCTAGCAAAATTTAGAGCCAGTTGCGCTTGGTTAACTACTTCCAAGCTTTCTTTCAGGTCCTTGGATATTTTAATATGAAGGTTGACACACCTGAAGTAGTGAGCTTGCACAAAAATTCTTCCTGTTACTTGGGTCAGAAACGGATTTATTTGGAAAATCCATTTAGATTTCCAAAGGCCGTTCCAGTAATCTCCCGATTCGTAGTTGTGATCTTCAATGCACGCTATCAAGAACTCCTTATTTTTCACAGATTTCCTCAACACATTGCAATTTCCATTTGGAAAGTGATCATTCACATACACTTTCAAAGCACACAGAACGACAGTTCTCAGGTATTCTGTTTCATTCCGAATGATACCGTGGCTTTGGATGTCTTTTAACTGATTTTGAAGCAGGTCAAATTTGAAAGAAAGTTTGCTTTGATAGTCAAAAAATCGGTAGTCACCCATTACATTGTGGTGAGACAGGAGTACTGGATTGCCGTCGATACAGAGTGGTACAGAATATTTCTGGCAGTGCTGGTGGCCTGCACACTCACCTTGATGGTGCATAAGTTTCTCATCACGGATAAGCAGACAGAGATCATCAAAGGCGTTTACAAATTCCCCTGGAGGAGCCTGTATTAACAGTCTGCGAATCACTTTTTCTTTCTGTTTCCTATTCAGAACGGTAAGTGACATGTTTGGTGACAGCAGAAGCAAAGCTTCTGAAATAAGGGGTGTTCAAAGGAACGAGAAAACGTTCCATGAGACACCTTTCCCATCAAGGTGTTAAACATTCAAGCTTAAAGTTATTATGCTCACCCATCCAAACAGGCAGTCTGGCAGGCTCTGAGTCCCCTGATGACATCATATAAGAAGCTTTCCCTATGAAGGCTGGAACTTCTGATGATATCACAATGGGTGCTCAAACCGAAAGGAAAAAAAAATGACAGTCACCTGACAGCGTGGGGCCCAGCCAGCCAGCTAAGCATGTTTTGAAGATTTTAAAAGCTAAGCTTCCTGAACAGGCTTCTTCAAAAGTGGTGTGTCTCTGTGTGTTATATCTTGTCAGGTATTGAGAAAAGCAGCCCAGAGTTCCTAGAGAGAGAGTTTGACAGCATTTTGCACCTCCAGGGACCGTAATGGAGTTGATTTGTTCTCAGACCCTCAGAATAGCTGCCCCAAATCCACTGGAAGCACACTGTGATGAAAGGTTTGAGGGGTTTAAGCAAAAAAGTAAAAACAAAATGAGATCAATGGCAGTTCATGGAAAAAAAAATGTCAGATAGCAGGGTGCTGCATCTATAAACATTTTGGATTTGGAGATGGTCCGAACATAAGCAAGGAGCCAGAAAGTGTGAAGGGCGGGGCATTGAGGGTCCACATCTTTTGTACTGGTTCTGTGGGAATTTCGGGTGAGCTAGCTCCAAAGAACAAAGGCAACAAACCACAGTGTGTTCTCTGCTTTCGTCCTAGAAAAGAGGTGGCAGTGGCAACAGCCGATGAGTATCAAGAAAACCCATTCCTGCGAGGGGGCAGATTTAATTATATTTGGAGCCGGTGACAGCATCTAATAGGGAGAGACTTCAAAGAGAGGAAAATCGGCACAACAGGTCATGAAATTATGGAGAACAAATATCCACTCAGAAGTCCTTTCTGTTCCGCTATCCTCTTCATTCTAATTTACCCTCTTGGCTAAATTTTCTTCTCATTCTTTCTGGACAGCTCTAAACTTAAGTCCCTCTCATTTAAGTATAAACTACTTCCTTCCACATCTGTCCCGAGCTTTTCTCAGTTTTCCTAGCTTCCTGTATTTTTTTCTTAGAGAAACATAAGCTTTGCAATATGAAGTCATAGCCATTAAATTTAAGCATTTCTCATTAGCTCTAACAATCTAAAATTGGGTGGATTTTTGAACAATTTTTACCTATACTTTTTATGATTTTTAAAATAGATTATCATATTACTTCATCTCAACCTTCGCCTTTCAAATCGAAGTGTCCCAATTTTTGTAGTTTATCTTAAATGATAAGTAACTGATTATTTTAGTTTTCTTCATCAAACCAAACGTAAACTCGCTGTGATATTGTTAACTCCTTTTTGATGGTACTTAAATTTTTTTTTTTTTTTGGTATATGTATAGCTGGAATGGGACATCTGTCGATGTAATAGCAATAATTTATATTATAGTGATAATAATATATTCTTAATAGTTACTATTTATTGAACATTCAGTAGTAGAAACTATTCAATGACACGTTAAGGACTCATTTAATGCCCCACCTTCTCTAAGAGGAAGTATTGATAGACTCACTTTTCAGTTGTGGGAATTGAAGCTGACAGAACTCAAATGACAGGCGGATTCTGGCATTCTGCTGCCTCTCAATGAGTCCATGTGTTCAGGGAATAGATTGTACTAATGTTTTAATGTATTTCCTGAGTAATAACATTATTTCTCGAATTTTTTTATTCTTTTCCTGTAATGTTTGTTTATTACAGAATGGTAACTGCTTAATTTTGTTTGTCTTAAATATTATTTGTGGTCAAATTATCTTGTCATTTAATTTGTGCACAACATAGAAATCTTTTAAAAACAAAAATAAATACATTAAAAACAATTAAAGAGGGATCAAATATTACTTTAGGCATTTTAAATACTTGATCACTTTTTGTGAGAATTTCCTTAACTTCTTTTTTGTGCTTCATACATGGTTTTTATCAAAGATTCAGGAAGACTTTAGAGGTGGAAGAATTAACCTAGAAAAAACTGTGAAATTACTTGGAAAATTAGATATCCGGTGTGATACTACTCATGTGAAATACATTTTTCAGGTGAGATGATATCTGCCTCCCACTTCCATCCTAGGTGGGACTTAATCCAATATGAGTAAATGTCAGTAGCTACTTGGACTTTGTATGGTTTCTGTAGAAAATACATATGAAAAATGAAATGAAATAAGGGGTGTTCTAAGGAATGAGAAAACATTCCATGAGACACCTTTCCCATCAAGATGTTAAACATTCAAGCTTAAGATTACCATGATCAACCATCAAAACAGGCAGTCTGGCAGGCTCTGAGTCTCCTGATGACATCATATAGAAGCTTTTTTTTAAGAATTAAAGTATTTAATTAAGAATTAAAGTATTTCATCATGCTAAATATATTTGCAATCAATATGGAGATAATTTAACTAGGGGATAGAAATAGTTGTTGATAAAATTTTATTTCACATTTCATGTTTTTTTTATTATGATTTAGGTGAAAGTTTACATAGCAAATTGGTTTCTCATTAAACAGTTAATACACAAATTGTTTTGTGACATTGGTTTCAACCCCACAATGTGTCAACACTCTCCCCTTCTCCACTCTAGTTTCTGTTTCCATTGGTACAGCTTTCCTATCCCTTCCTGCCTTCTGGTCTTTGCTTTTGGGCTGGTGTGTCCATTAGTCTTGTACACATGACTGAACTATGAAGCACATCCCTCATTATGTTACTGTTAGCCCTATACCAAAAAAAAAAAAAACAAACCTGTCGCCGTCAAGTCGATTCTGACTCATAGCCACCCTATACGACAGAGTAGAACTGTCCCATTCGGTTTCCAAGGTGTTCCTGATGGATTCGAACTGCCAACTTTTTGGTCAGCAGCCATAGCTGTTAATCACTATGTCACCAGGATTTCTGTTGGTGCTATAGATCTGTTTAATCTTTGGCTGAAGGGTGAACTCTCAGGAGTGACTTTAGTACTGAGTTAAAAGGGTGTCTGGGGCCATTCTCTTGGGGTTTCTCCAGTCTCTGTCAGACCTACAAGCCTGGTCCTTTCTTTTTTGTGAATTTGAATTTTGTTTTACATTTTTTTCCCACTCTATCAGGGACCCTCTATTGTGGTCCCTGCCAGAGCAGTCGGTGTTGGTAACCAGGCACCATTTAGTTGTTCTGGGCTCAGTCTGGTGGAGGTTGTGACAGTTGTGATCCTTTAGTCCTTTGGACTAATCTTTCCTTGTGTCTTTGGTCTTCTTCATTCTCCTTTGCTCCAGCTAGTATGGGACCAGTAGATGTATCTTAGATGGCTGCTCTCAGGCTTTTAAGATCCCAGTCGCTACTCACTTACAGCTAGATGTAGAATATTTTCTTTATTGACTATGTTATGCCAACTGAGCCAGATGTCCCCTGAGACCATCGTCCCCAGCCCTCAGCCCAGTAGTTCAGTCTCTCAGGGCATTTGGATGTGTCTGTGAAGATTCTATGACTTTGCCCTGGTCAAGTTGTGCTTATTTCCCCAGTATTGTGTACTGTCTTACCCTTCACCCAAGTTGCCATTTATGTTATCTAGTTAGTATTTTTCCCTCACTACTCCCCCACCCCTCGTAACCATTAAAGATGGTTTCTTTCTGTGTGGGAACATTTTCGTGTGTTTTTATAATATTGGTCTCATACAGTATTTGTCCTTTTGTGATTGACTTATTTCACTCAACACAGCGCCCTCCAGATTCATCCATATTGTTAGATGTTTCACAGATTCATCATTGTTCTTCATCATTGCATAGTATTCCATTGTGTGTATATACCATAGTTTATCCATTCATCTGTTGATGGGCATCTAGGTTGTTTCCATTTTTTGCTATTGTGAATAATGCTACAATGAACATGGGTGTGCATATGTCTATTCATGTGATGGCTCTTATTTCTCTAGGATATATTCCTAGGAGTGGAATTGCTGGATCATATGGGATTTCTATTTCTAACTTTTTAAGGAAGTGCAATATTGTTTTCCAAAATGGTTGTACCATTTTGCATTCCCACCAACAATGCATAAGAGTTCCAGTCTCCCTGCAACCTCTCCAATATTTGTTATTTTCTGTTTTTTTTATTCATGCCAGTAACGTTGGTGTGAGATATTTCACTGTAGTTTTGATTTGCATTTCTCTAATGGCTAATGATGGCTAGCATTTCCTCATGTATCTGTTAGCCACCTGAATGTCTTCTTTGGCGAAGTGTCTGTTCATATCCTTTGCCCATTTTTTAATTGTATTGTCTTTTTGTTGTAGATGTGTTGAATTTTCCTATAGCTTTTAGAGATTAGACCTTTGTTGGATATGTCATAGTCAAAAATTTTTTCCCAGTCTGTAGGTTCTCTTTTTACTCTTTTGGTGAAGCCTTTTGATGGGCGTAAGTGTTTAATTTTTAGGAGATCCCATTTATCTAGCTTATCTTCTGGTGTTTATGTATTGTTAATTATAGTTTGTATACTGTTTATGCTGTATATTAGGGCCCCTAGTGTTGACCCTATTTTTAATTCCATGATCTTTACAGTTTCTGATTTTGTATTTAGTTCTTTCATCCATTTTGAAGTACTTTTTGTGTATGCTGTGAGGTATGGGTCCTGCTTCATTTTTTTACAGATGGACATCCAGTTTTGCCAGCACCATTTGTTAAAAAGACTGTCCCCTCCGCCCCCTAATTAATGGACTTTGGGTCTTTGTCAAAAATCAGGTGGCCGTAGGTAGATGAATTTACATCTGAGTTGTTGATTCTGTTCCATTGGTCAATGTGTCTGTCATTGTATCAGTACCAGGCTGTTTTGACTACTGTAGCTGTGTAGTAGTTTCTGAGGTCACGTAGTGCGAGGTCTCCGACTTTGTTCTTTTTCTTCAATAATGCTTTGCTCATCCAGGACCTCTTACCTTTCCATATAAAGTTAATGATTAATTTTTTCATCAAATTAAAAACTGCTGTTGGTATTCAGATCAAGATTGCATTGTATTTTTAGATTGCTTTGGGTAGAATTGATATTTACAGTTGTTAATAAAATTTGAAAGAAAAGCAGTTTATCAGTTTAGAACAAGCTACTGAATGTGTAGGAATATACAGTATATATAGAAATATCCTAGATCACATCAGACCTTGTATAATAAGATCAAAATCATAGAGATGATCACATGGTGAATGGATTGGATGTTAGTGATTTATAGAAGCAATGGGTTAACTTGAGAAAATGCTTCACTCACTCTAAAGGAGAAAATTGTGCCCAAATATCTCTTCATCTAAAGAAGGACTAGTAGGAGGGGAACCTGGCTCAATTCTGTCACTAGAGGACAGAGGGAAGGATCATGAATAAAACAAGAAAACGCCAAATGTCTTAGCTGAGTTTTGAAATAGGAACATGGAACATTTCTTGGGGAATCAGGCAAGAATGCTAGACTGGCCAATCCAAATAGTTAGGAAGAGAGAAATCCTGAATATAATTTTGACTTTTGAGGAATGAGTAGCTGGATTCCTAATCTATGCTGAGGTAGTTACCACCATTACAAACTGTGAAGGATCAGAGATTTTACCCTACTTGCAAGTTGGCAAGTTAGCCCACTATCGTTTCATGGATGCTGACAGAAGACAGGCTCCTGGGTCAGAGACAAAAGACAGTTCCTCAAATCCCAAATCCCAAAGGGTGACTTTAGGAGAGCCAGGTGACACCTGCACACTCAGCAGGTTGTGTTACAGGAGAAGAGCCTCAAGCTTAAGCACTCAGATATTATATGTTGGACGGTAGGCCTGTCTGATCTTTACCCTGGAGGAGAGGGTCCTTATCTTTATTATAGTGGAGGGAGACACTATCTCTCCCAAGGCTGTTGGTTATACAAACTTCCTTGAAAAGATAGTTCTGAAGAGATACAGTTTGTGCCTCTGTTCAGAAGACCTGCAGAAACACAAGAGACCCATGGAGAATTGGCTCCAACAACAATTTCTCTCAAAAAGATTTAGCCACCTAAGTTTACAAATAACCAAGAGAAGGTGGGAAAAAAGGAAAGCTGTATGTCTCAAGAGACTGCAGTAAAAATTTAGAGTTTCAGAGATATTCCTATGAATACAAGCACTGTGCACTACTACAAGCTATCAGAATTTTAATTATTTCATGATAATACTGCATTTGAAGAACATAAATTTTTGTGAAAGACTTACTTGTAGGATTTTTTACCCCCAAAAGCTATTCAAGGAAAAACAGCCATGTGCTTCCTAATTTAATGAAATTTGCACTCAACATAATATAGGGGTAGTAATATATGATATGCTGTAAATATCATTTGGTGATTATCAAGTTTCTTTGAAATTCTCTTCAAGGTAGAGATACTATTTGAAATGCAATTGAGTAAAATACATGCCAGATTTAAATGCATTAGGTAGAATGCTTAAGAATTATAACAAGTACAGAAATTAATTGCAATTTACGATTATTTGGACATGGCCAAGACTGAAGATCTACTTCGTTTAGCAAAATCTTTCAGAGTGGCTATGAAAACAATGTTAATTATAACAATTAGAGTGGCAGAGTTTATTTAGATTACTTCAAAAAGCTCTTTAAAATAAACTCAAGTGCTTTAGAAGTATAATTTACATGTAAGCAAGGTTGATGATCACAATAAACCATTTTTAATATTAAAATAATTCCCCTAGGCCTTATAATGAAGGGCCCTGGTGGCATAATGGTTAAGTGCTTAGCTGCTAACCGAAACGCCGGCGATTTGAACCCACCCAGTGGCTCCTCAGGAGAAAAACTTGATGATCAGCTCCCATAAAGATTACAGCCTAGAAAACCCTACGGGGCAGCTCTGCTCTGTCACGTGGTGTTGCTAGGAGTTGGAATTGACTCAATGTCACCTAACAACAGCCACAGGTCCCATAATAATCGTTGGTTGCCTTAGGCTAAAGTCCTGCATATAGAATATTTAGGGAAGGTGTATTGGCTAACTGAATCTTCTGGGTAGCTGAAGATTAAACTTCTTAAACATCCAGCCCTTTTGTGTCAACTTCCGTTGCTAATCTTTCTACACTTCATCA